TCTGGATCTTTTTGTACGGGCTGCAGTCATGCGTCTGCATCTTTATGTCTCTGTGTTTATTCCTCGGTCTGAAGCGCGGGCCAAGTCAAGTGGCACAGCGGAGCAGGGTTGCGTCACTCCAGGCCGTGGAACCGGAGGGGTACCTCTTTGGCATAAGGTAAGTGGCACCCAACAGAGGACCTCCGGGATTATGGGGAATTCCCCTTCAGCTGCGGAACGAGAATATCGAAAGTTAGTCCAGGGACTTTTACACTCAGTGGGAGTGGAAGTTAAAGATACTACTTTAAAGCAATTGTTTGACTTAGTGCAGCAGCACTGCAATTGGTTTCAGTTTCAGTCCCAGGTTCAGTTAAATTTGGGCAGCTGGTAATAGGTTATTAAAGCCTGTCGTGTAGCCCATCAAGGAGGCGACATGGTTAACTTAAAAAGTTGAACTGTTAAGCACTGCAGCTACTGGAAACAGACTCGGAGAAAGCTGAGTGGCAGAATGGGGAGGAGCTGGATTCTCCTCCCCCTGAGCAGATCCCAGAAGTGACTCCTCTAATAGATAGTCAGGAAGGGGTTAACTCTCTATCCCCTGACACTGGAATAGCACAATTTATTGCCTCGTTAAAGAAATGTTTACTCTCTCTTATCACTACCTCCACAGCCCCGACAGCGCCCCCAGCTTATCCTGTCTCTTTGCCACCCCCCTGTCTCTTTGCCACCCCTGCCGCTGCAGTTCTCCCTCGGGCTGGAGCTACTTTCATTTTCCCTATAGTAGGGCAGCCTTTTGGCCCTGGTGTAGATCCACAGTTCCCGAACGGGGGACAGCGTATTACTTATCATGCCCTTCAGTATAAATTCCTAAAGGATTTAAAACAGGCCGTCCAAACTTATGGTCCACAGTCCCCTTTCGTTCATGGTCTTTTGGACGCCTTTTCTAGTGAAAACATTCTTGTACCCTTGGACTGGGAGAATATTGGTAAAGCAGCCTTAGAAGGCCCCCAATGGTTGCAATTATGCAGCTGGCGGGTAGAGGAAGCTAGAATTCAAACACGACTCAATGCACAGCGGCAACCTCCGGGTCCCACGGAGGAGGAGCTTACGGGGTCGGGACAATATTCTACTCTGGTCACACAGGCGGCCATAGAGGACCCAGCCTTAACACAGGTGAGGTTGATTTTTCTCAAAGCATGCAGAAAAATTGAAACCTGAGGTCAGTCTACGCCATCCTTTGTAAAGACCTTGTAGGGTCCCACGGAGCCCTATACTGATTTTCTATCTCGCTTAAAAGAGGCAGTCTACCGTGGGATGGGAAGTTCTGAAGCTGCCTCCCTTATTCTGCAATCTTTGGCTGTTGAGAATGCCAATCCAGATTGTCAAAAGATTCTCAGGCCTCTGAAGGCTAGTGGCGGGACATTGGATGAATATGTATGAGCCTGTGCTGGGGTTGGTGGCGCTGCTTATCATACTTCTTTGTTGACCGGAGCTATTCAAAAGGGGTCTGATCGGCCTGACTGTTATAATTATGGCTGACCTGGCCATCTTCGTAAGGAATGCAGAAGGAAAGGTGGGACTTTGTTACATAAACCTCAAAGCTTCCTCCTCCGGTGATTTGTACCCGTTGTGGAAAGAGGCCTCATTAGGCCAGCAAGTGTCGCTCCAAAACTAATAAAAATAGAAATCCTCTGCCACCTCTGAGTAATAACCAACCATCGAGAAACTATTTGCGAGGCCCTCAGTCCTGGGGCCCCCCAAACAACAATACGGGGCTTCAACAGTATCCAGTGAGCAACGGTCTTGCACATCAACAGATCAGTCCTTGGAAGTTACACAATTGTATGCTGTTACCTCTGGGAGTGCAGCTGCCGATCTGGCGGTCGCTAGGACCTATACCTTAACAGCTGCTGAGAGTGTTCACAAATTATCCACCCAGGTATATGGTCCCCTTCCAGAAGGTAAAATGGGTTTGATCATTGGTCATAGCAGCTGCACTGTTAAAGATATCTTTGTTCATTTGGGAGTTATTGATTCAGATTATATTAGGGAGATACAAATTATGGTTTCAGTTTCTCATACAACTCAGATATATGCTGGAGATCGTATAGCTCAATTCCTTTTGCTGCCCTACACTCCTTTTGCTACATGTGATGTTAAAAGAACCGGTGGTTTTGGCAGCACAGGTAATAAAGTTTTTTGAGAGAACCTGATTCAAGATGCTTGCCCTGTTTTCACATTGACTGTTGCCAGTCGCCAATTCAAAGGTTTAGTGGATACTGATGCTGACGTTTCCATCATCAGCCTCTCTCAATGGCCTTCTGATTAACCCAAAACTATTGTCCCTGCAGTCTTATCTGGCTTAGGCCAAGTTCAGTGTGTTTATTGCAGTAATGATGTCTTGAAATGCCTTGGCCCTGATGAGCAGCCAGTCTCCCTGTCGGTTTATATTGTTGACATTGCTGTTAACCTATGAGACAGGGATCTCCTTCATCAATTTGGAGCATTTTTATCTATCCCTCACCTTGCTCCTAATGTCAAAAACATGATGCTTAAAATGGGGTATAACCCCCTGCTTCCTATAGATTCTTCTACTTCTTTAAACTAGTTGCCACTGCTCAGGAAATTCCTTGAGCTCTGCCCCTACACTGGAAAACAGATACTCCTGTGTGGACTGAGTAGTGGCCACTACCCTTTGAAAAGCTCGAGGCCTTAAAAGTGTTGGTTTCTGAACAGCTCACTACAGGTCATATTAAACAGTCTACTTCCCCCTGGAATTCTCTTGTTTTTATCATCAGAAAAAATTCAGGTAAATGGCACTTCTTGATGGACCTGCAAAAAATCAATAAATGTATCCAACCTATGGTTTCTTTACAGCCTGGTTTGCCCCTTCCTTCTATGATACCTAGAGGATGGTCAATGCTAGTCATAGATTTAAAAGACTGTTTTCTCACTATACCTCTTCAACTCTGTGACAAGGAGCGTTTTGCCTTCACCATTCCAGAATATAACAATGGCCGTCCTACAGAACGGTATCGGTGGCGGGTTCTGCCCCAAGGCATGTTGAATAGCCCTACCCTCTGCCAGGAGTTTGTTGATCGTGCCTTGAACCCAGTGCATCTGCGACATCCTGCTGTTGTGTTGTACCATTATATGGATGACATTCTTTTAGCAGCTCCTACTACAGCCAAATGAGATGCTGCTTTTTCTGATCTCCAACAACAACTAACTTCCTATAATTTAATTCTAGCACCAAAAAAGATTCAAACTGACCTGCCTATCGACTGTCTCGGCTATTGCCTGTCAAGAATATAGATTCCATCTCAAAAATTACAAATTTGCAGGGAAAATTTAAAGACTTTGAATGATTTTCAAAAACTTTTGGGAGACATTAATTGGCTCCGCCCAACTTTAGGCATTCCCACCTATGCCCTACAGCATTTATTTTCTACCTTAGAAGGTGATAGTTCCTTGACTAGCCCTCGTATCCTTACCCCACAAGCAGAAAAGGAGTTGCGGTTCGTGGAACAACGACTTACCTCTGGAACTTTGACATTCCTTGACCTTTTCTGCTCTATAATTTTTTATGTATTTCATACACCCCATTCACCTTCTGGATGTTTAGGTCAAGACCATGGCATTCTTGAGCAGTTGTTTTTACCCAATCAACAGAACAAAAAACTGACTACCTATTTGGATAAACTTGCTTTTTTGATCCTTCATGGCCAATGACGTTGTAGGCAACTTTCTGGCCAGGATCCCTGTCGTATTGTTACTAAATTAACAGCCAAGGATATACAGGCAAATTTTGAATTTTCAACTGCCTGGCAAATAGCCTGTGCCGACTTTATAGGTCAGTTTGATAATCATTATCTGGCCCATAAACTATTCTCTTTTCTTCAAACTCATTCTGTTCTTCCTATTTCTAATATTACATCACAACTTGTTCCAGGCCCTACATTTTTCACTAATGCATCCGACTCCTCCAAAACAGGATATTGGAGTTCAATTACACAAAAGTTGTCTCTCCCCCTTTCTCTTCCGTCCAAGAAAGTAAATTATATGCTATTTCTTTGGTTTTACAGGATTTCCCTTCGACAACTTTAAACATTCTCAGTGTCTCTCAATATACTGTTTATGTTACTTCTCAATTCCTTAACTCTCCTTTGGTCGTGTTCAGTCCCTCTTTATATTGCTCATACTCGTTCTCATTCTGGCCTTCCTGACCCTCTTACCCTGGAAAATGCTACTATTGATTCCTTACTGATTACTTCTGTTCAACAGGCACACGCCGAGCATGCCTTGCACCATACCAATACTAGAGGACTACAACGTCGCTTCTCTATCACTCGTAAGCAAGCCAGACAGATTGTCCGCTTTTGTTCTGCTTGTGCCCCTATTAATCTTCCTTCTCTTTTACCAGGCTGTACTCCTTCAACACAACCAGATTTGGCAAATGGATGTTACCTATTTTCACTCTTTCAGCCGTCTTCGCTATATTCACCATACTATTGATACTTGTTCTCATTTTCGGTGGGCCACAGCTCAGAGTTCTAAAAAAGCTGATGCAGTTATCACCCATCTACATTCCTACTTTACTGTTATGGGCCTCCCACATACTATCAAAACTGACAACACCCCAGCCTGTACCTCTCACAAATTGGCTGATTTTCTTCACCTGTATTCCATCCATCATGTTACTGATATACCCTCTAACAGTCAAGGCCCAGCTATCATTGAACATGTCAATCATACCTTAAAACTTCAACTTTTAAAACAAAAAGGGGGAACTCTGGAGTCACCTCATCGTCATCTTCTTCAAGCCCTTTTCACATTAAATTTTTTGAATCATTGACAGGCATTGGGAACCTCTGCTGCGGAGCGTCATTTCACCCCCACTAAACCTCTAACTCCTTCTTCTCCTGATCCTGTCTAGGTCTGTTTATCTACTGGTGATTGGAGGGATAGGGTGGTACTACAGTGGGGTTGGGGCTATGCTTATGTTTCCACAGATAACGGTTGTGAGTGGGTACCAATGCGCTGTCTTAAGCGACACGATGGCCAAGCGAGGGCGGACTGAGGACCTGCTCAAAGAATTCGAGAACTTGACCATTCACAGCAGGACCTACACCATGGCCACGACTCGGGCCACACCACCAATGTGGGTACAGCTTAAGGAGCTTACTCAGGAGGCTAAAAATGTGGTAACATGCACGCAACAGCCACGCAACCCTGGTACTCTTTTTCTGGCAATGCTCGCCATTGTTTCTTGCCAGGTAGGCTGCATGTGTCCCTCTTCTACTTATACCTATTGGACCTATGTCCCATATCCCCCTTTATTCAAAGCTGTAGCATGAGGTGACCCAGAAGTCATGGTGTACACCAATGATTTCAACTGGATACCTGCTCCCTACCAAACTCCATCTTTATATTACAAAGAGGAAGGGAGGCTAATCTCCAATTATCCTATAAATGTAAAAGGATATCCTATCTGCTTCAGTCTTAGGCCTTGTCTGCCTATTTCCCATGAAGCCTGGGGGCTACAGTATAATACCTCCTCTTTTGCGGCCTTCACGGTTCTTTTATCCGTAAAAGGCCTCTGAGGAAAACCTACCAATTTGACTGAGGGCCAGTCACCCTTGCCCATATGTGCTATGCCACATATTGATGCTCCTTTACAACATATAAAGTGTACTAAATGTAGAGGCAAAGCTTTGAATCTTTTAAGTGAAACCCCACCAATTGTTGATTGGAGCCCCCATGGCGATTTTCATAGAAAATTCTCTAATCACTCACTTCGGTGGCATCATAGGTTTAACTCTTAGATGCCTCAGCAAATAAAACTATTATATAGCATGATAAGGGCTTATCTCCTCCTCAACCTCATCTTTTGGGAACCACTGTGATGCAAGGCCATATATGAAAACTGCTTGCATCTGGAGAGCATATAAATATATGGACAAGTAACATGTCCTATAATAACTCAGTAGGTTTCCAGGTCCATTTACATAAAAATCATTCTATATATATCTTGGCCTGTGTCCCCTATCCATATCTCTTGCTGATGGGCAAAGTCACTTGGAATTTATCAATTAACCATATTCATTGTGTAAGTAACTGTTCTCTG